CATATGCACCGCTCACTTTACTCTTTAAATCTGCAGTGGCTCCTCATTGTCACCAGATTAGATCCACAGTCCTTAAATTGGTGTTCAGGGTTAGTAATATATTCTTTTATGTCATTTTTTTGTTTCTCTGTTTTCTTTTTTCTAGCTTGTGATGAATGGAAAACATTACCGAAACCAAATCTTCATAGAGATGTTAACAGATTTGGACACTCTGCAGTAGTCATTAATGGGTAAAAGAAGCACATTTGAAATTTTTAAAGGGTTAAGAATATCAATCCTTCATATATTCATTGATTTTGATATACTTTTGATAATCATCATTGATACTAAATGACACTGGATTTTATATGTCCCTACTGTGTCATAGAATACATTTTAGTTTGTTAGTTATATCTTTGCTTCTTTTTTGTTTTAAATATATTATGAGATGGGGAGTAGTTAGGAAACTTTTTCTTTAAATTCATTGTGACTTCTTTTTTTCAGAGATCAGAAAAAATAATGACTCTACCTATAAAAAGGTCGACCTGAAGTGCTAGAGTGGTTAGCTCCTATTCTTTCAAAAAGATAAAGAGAAAAGAATTACATTTTCATTTTAATTCTGTCATAAAAATATGCATGATTTTATGACAAGTCTCTATCTCCTTATACTTTATGTCTTTATGCCCATTGGCAAATGGACCAGATGATGATTAAATTGCCTTTGCTCTTTATATTAATACAATTTTTGTTTCAATAACAAACATTTCATAATTTGGACTAAAGAGATAATAAACAGTTTGCAGCTTTATTCCTTAATTTAAAAGGTGGAATTCAGAATGATGTTTATGTAAGTTTAATTTCTTATTACCTTATCCTATTGATATAAAAATTATCCACTATTGCCACACAGTGACTTGATAGCTGTAATGAAACTGTGTAATTGGTAGCAGTTGACTTTCAAAGTAATTGATGAAATGAAATGTCAAACATAAAACCTGTCGGCTTCTCTGTTTAAAATTGTTTGGTTGATTTATATTTCATCTGTTTGTTAATTAAAGTCTTGAAACATTTTTCCTATTTCCATTTATTATGCTAATATTTTTAGAAGTAAAAATTATGCTGTTTATGGGCATGTCAAACTTAATTTGGCACTGGTTAGTATCAATTACTTTAGAATTGAAATTTAAAATTTTTTTGATTATTTTACTTAGTCTTTTTATTTAAGAGAAAAAAGACTATGAGAAGAACTCTATATCTAACTTCTAAATCCTATATATTAATAATGACAATTCTAGGGCCGGGGATTTAGCTCAGTGGTTCCACCGCCTGCCTTGTAAGTGTGAGGTCCCGAGCTCAATCCCTAGTACCAAAAATAAAGATGACAATTCTAGACAGGAATTCATATGTGAGTCTTATTATTCATCTGTACTTACCTATTTCTTAATTGTTTCCTACTCTATTAGAAGTTATTTCTTTGGTAAGAAGAATGTTATAATTCTTATTCCTTCTCTTTTTTTTGAATTATTAATAGAAAACTGTTTTGAAAACTTGATTTTTCTTAGTACATTAAGTTTTATAGAATATGTTAGATTTCTTTTAGAAAGGCTTTGGAAATCTCTTAATAGTTCCTCTATGATTTTCATGTCCTATTTTATGTTAGAAATATGATTTTAAAGAGCAGTTCTGATATAAATTATTTAAAAAGAATGTAGAACATATATTTAAGTTGCTTTTTTTTGGGTTTTTTTTTTTTTTTTTTTTTTTTTTTTTTGTACCAGGGATCGAACTTGGGACCTTGTGCTTACAAGACAGGCCGCGGAACCACTGAGCTAAATCCCCAGCCCTAAGTTGTTTTATTTTTAAAGTAAATTTGTTAGAAATTTTTAATGTTCTTTCTTGAAAATTTTTATTTTGTTTTTAATAGGTCCATGTATATATTTGGGGGATTTTCTAGTGTACTCCTTAATGATATCCTTGTATACAAGCCTCCAAATTGCAAGGCTTTCAGAGATGAGGAACTTTGTAAAAATGCTGGTCCAGGGATAAAATGTGTTTGGAATAAAAATCACTGTGAATCTTGGGAATCTGGAAATACAAATAATATTCTTAGAGCAAAGTGCCATCCCAAAACAGGTAAGGCCTTTACTCCCTTCCTTTCTGTCATCAAAGTTTCTCTATTTGACTAGAAGTAGAAATACACTTTGCTCTTAGAAATTACCTTAGTGGCTTACAGAAATGAAAAATTCATAATTCTCTAATTCGAAATCTAGTGTTTTAATTTAACAGTGATTTAATAATTATTTAATAATTTAATACCATTGTTGGCTATTTATAATTTTATTTTTGCAATATATGTAACTTCCTATACATGAATTATTTTGTCATATAAGTTAAAATACTTTCAAATATATCATTCTTAAGAAATATTGTGTACTTCAAAGAAATAACATGAAGTTATTTATTCCTCTTCCTGAATTATTGTCAAACCATACCATAAAGTTAAGAAATTTTCTAGAATTCTATGATCATTGTTTTAATATACTTCTTATAAAATGTTGAATAGATCAGACTTATGAAAAATCAATACCATTTATTTTTATTTATGATTTGGATAAAACTGCTCAGTTTGCTTTAACTGAGTAAGGGCTTTTATACGTTTTTGATACTACAACTAAAAATATACTTTCAAGTTTCACTTATCTATATTCACTCAGATTTCTCTAAATAGTTTTATAAAGAATAATAAAACAGTAAGTATTTGTAATGTTTTGCTTTGGATGTGTAATACATTTTATTAAGTGAAATAGTTGTAAATTTTGTTCTCTTCCAAAATGTGTAAGTTTAAAATGGCTGTAGGATCCTGATAGATTGAACAATTTAAATGAGTGTGAGAGTTTAAAAACCTATAAACACAAACTAAAAAATTATCTTTAGATTGGAGAACTTATTTTGATATTAAAGGCCATTTTTTCTTAAAAATATCTTAGTAATCTTTAGATATTATAAATGTGTATATTAAAAAGTGTAACAGTTTCTCTTATGTTCTAATATGTTTTATCTCCCCAATTTGTATTACAGCTATTTCTGATGACAGATGTTACAGATATGCGGATTGTGCTAGCTGTACAGCCAATACAAATGGGTGCCAATGGTGTGATGACAAGAAGTGCATTTCTGCAAATAGTAACTGCAGCATGGTTAGTATTTATGAGTAGATGGTGATAATAAACATTGCGGTTTATATCATTATGTTACCATTAAATAACACTGTCCACAAAAAGCAAGCAATTTATACATTAAGACATTTAGAAAATATGTAGAAAATGATTCAGTGATTTGATAATACACATGAAATTATTTAGATTCTTTCTTATTTATTTGAATATGTTTTATGTCTTAACATGTGGTCATGTTGGAGAAAATTTTATGTGCTGCTGTAAAAAATGCATATTCTTTTGTTGTTGGGTAGAATACTCTTTAGATTTCTTTTAAGTCCATTAATTCAAAGATGTAGTTGAACTGTGATATTTCTTTGTTGATTTGTTTTTGACTAGTTAACCTGTTTATGTTATTGCAGTATTGAAGTTCCTCACTATAATTGTATTGTTGTTTATCTGATTTTTATGTACAATAGTATTATTTTATGAAATTGAGTGTGCTGGTGTTCAGTGCATATATATTTACAATTGTTATTTCTTTCTCTTGAATCATTCGCCTTACAGTATGTAGTGATCATTTGTATCTCTTCTGATCAGATTTGGCTTGAAGTCCACTTTGTCCGAAAATAAGATAGGTACTCCTGCTTGCTTTGGGGCTCCTGTTGCATGGAATATCATTTTCCATTCTTGACTTTTAGTCTATGTGTTTATGGATAGAGTGTGTTTCTTGTTTGCAAAATATAGTTGTTTGTTTGTTTGTTTGTTTTGGTACCGGGGATTGAACTTGGGACCTTCTGCTTGCGAGGCAGGTGCTGGAACCACTGAGCTAAATCCCTGGCCCCAGTTGGGTTTTGTTTTTTGATTCAATCCACCACTCTGTTTCTTTTGGTTGGGGAGTTAAGACCATTTAAATTGAGAGTTATTACTGAGAGGCACTGACTGATTCCCTTTTGATTAACTGCTCACTGTGCTTGATATATTCTTCCCTTTGGGCTTTTTGGTGGTGCTGTCCTCATTGTCTTTGTCTAGGATTTCTTTGAGTACTTTTTACAGTGCTTGTTTTGTGGTCATGAATTTCTCAAGGTGCTTGTTACCATAGACAGTATTTCTCCTTCAATTTTGAAAAATGTTTTGTAAAATCTATTATTTTATGTATTCTGTATTCTATTATTGATGTGTGGTGGAGAAGTTCTTTTTGATCAAGGCTGTTTGAGGTTCAATATACCTCCTTCATCTGGTAAATTCTTTTTCTTGAACGTTTTCTGCTATGATTTTGGTAAATAACTTTTTTATATCTTTTATGTTGACTTCTCATTGTTCTTTAACTCCTGTAATTCTTAGGTTATTGTTTTTACATTTTTTGAGTCACCTAGCAGCTGTTGTGTTCAGTTTCCGTGATTTCTTGTTTCTAACGTATTTCTGAGTACATGGTCTGCATCAACCTAATCTTGTAGTTCTGACACTCTCACCTCACATTGGTCATTTCTGCTGTTCAAGTTTGCTAGTCAGTCTCTTCCTAGCAAGATAGTAGGATGCTGTGGGACAATCAGAAACTCCTGGTGAAACATTTGGCCTTCAAAGTGATGCATCAGAGCAGGAGTAGAGTTTCTGACTAGGGGTCCCCTCCACCCCATTATGACTTTAGATCTAGAGGAGAGTTTTCCCAAAAAGGAAGTCAAAACTGAATGAGATGCTACTGTATCAATAAATATTTTGCTCACCCATGGCATCTAACATTATACAGGGAATGTTTGTATCCTTGGAGAGGGGCATTGTAGGTACCTTTGGGCCTCCTCAACCTTCAGAGCAGGAAATGAAGTTTTTGACTGGGCTAGCCCCTCTCTTGGAGTGGTGACAGTCAACCCTCCAGTAGCATAAGTCAGACTCATTGCTAGCTTCACACTCAGAACAGGACCCAGGCAGAGGCTTGGTGCAGTTGCATGCCCAGTGTCTAGACTTCTTATACTTGAAACACTTTCCTTGGTTATCTTTGGGTTTCCCCCAGGTGATTTGGGTGAGCTTAAAGCATTGCTAATTGTGACAGCTTTAATTGTAGCTTTTCTCTTTTAAGCTTTCCTTGGGTCCTGATTGTTGAACACAGAAAAGGCCAGGTTTAGCAATTGGGTCATAGGTGTCTGTGGTCTTATGTCAAGTTTTTGTAATTTGTGGTGAATTTCTGGGGTTGATTAACAAATGAAATGCCATGCTACCAGTGCCTCTCCCTCCCTGGAAGATAGGTCTATGTTTGTAGTTCAAGTTTGTTTCTGTTGAAGGCAGAATAGCCTGTCTGGGGTGTTTTTTGTTTTTTTCCCTCTTCTTAAAGCATACTCTTCATTTGCATAGTTCTTAGCTTCTTGTAGAATTCTTTATCTTTCATCTAGGGTACAAACAAGTGGCTAAGATGAATTGGAGATCTCACCATGATAAGTCAAAAATGAGGGTCAAAGTTTGAAACCAATCTGCAAACTTACTAGGATCCTCTAACAGCCTAGCTGTTCTTTGCATTGCTGGATATCTGGAAATGAAAAGGACACCTGAACTCTTGAGCAGTGCCCTCTGCTTCTGGGACCCCTCTCAGAGGCAGGACAGGTTGTGATTTAGAGGAGCAAGGAACACCACTTTGGGTACACCCAGTGGAACTTAAGGCTCTCTGAGAAGCATGTTGAGGGGCCTGAAGAATGTTGGCTTCCTCTGGGATACTAGGCTCTAGCAGAGTTCCTGAGTCACTTGAAGGGATTGAGACTGATTTACTGGCCTGAGGATTATAAGGAGATTGAGGAGACCCTTCAGATTGGTTGTCTTCATTAAACAGATGGGAGAGACCCACATCACCTTGAGAGACAGGTGAGGTTCTGAGGACAGGATCATCAAAGATATCTCTCTTTTCTTGGGGGCTACTCTAAATAATACCATAGTGTCTGGGCTTTTCCTTAGTTAAAGTGTCACAAAAACCTGAACATAAAGGATTTCACTCCACCAGCTATGTTTTAACCAGAAACAGTTTAACTGAAAAATAGTATCACAGTTTAAACTGCCATCCTGTATTCATCTCTTGCCATTTCCTAGTTCATATTGAACCCAAACTATATTGGAATAATAGATAAGTAGTTCCTTTCTCAAATTGCTAGGGTCAAACCTTTCCTACTGATAAAGGATGTGATCAAGTGGTGAGGTTGGTGAAATCTGCACGGCATGAATCATGCGGTTTCTCATGGCTCATATTGGGGAGTATATAGAGAGAGGCAACTAGGTCTTAGGTCCTTAAGATGGTATCCCATATACAAGGAGATCCAATGTGAGCCCACATAGCATCCCTTGTGATACTTACATATTTACTAGACAGACATCTCTGTCTGAAGCTGGGATAATGCTGTCTTTCATAGAACCATAGAAGTAAACCCTATTGTAGGCTTTTTGTTTCCATATTGGGGCCCACCGACTCCTTAGGAGAGGAATATTGAGCTGCTTGATGGATCTACTAGCCCTTCACAGATCCCATGAGATCCTGGTGTAGTCTCTCCACCAGGGACTCCCTTAGCCACTTGATGGCCCTGCTTAAGTAGGGTGGAGCTACTTGGGAAACATTAACCCATACATATACCCCAATAGTAAAAACTTTGGTACTTATTAAAAAAAAACTTTAAAAAGTTTTAAGAACAAGGATTGTTCTACTTTTGTATACTTACAGTCACTTGAGTTAAGCTTTACTGGCTGTTCTTTTGTTCTGCTCAGGCTGTCAGGCATGTGTCTATATTACCTGAGTTTTACTAGAAGAGACAAGGAAGGGATCTAGGACAATTCAAAAGAAAAGAGGGAGGAAGCCCACACTTTTCTTGTAATCAGAGGCTTATCTCCTATCTACAAAGGTGAGAATTTCCAGTGACCATGAAGCCAGGTGAAAAAAAAAAATTGGTAAACACACATGATGGTGGCTGACCCAAATCAATGACCAGTCACATGACAAGACAAGATGGTAGCCAGTCAAGTGATGAGATAAGATGGCATCCTTGATTAAGATAGCACCCTGAGAAGGAAAACAGAAACACATGCACAGCAGGGCATAATAACAGGCTTCCTGGTTGTTTAACTCATACTTGTGGATTGATCACAGATGGGAAAGTGAAAGAAAAGGGGTGATAAACTTGAAGTACTCATTTAGGAAGAAAAATACTGGGGCCATGCATTTCCCTACCCACTCCCACATGGTGGAAAAAGCAAGAAACATTTCCTGGCTCCATGAGAAAAGTTTCCTGAGTTCCGCAACCTAAGGGAGAGAGACAAGGAAAGAAAAAAAAAAACCTTTCTGACTATAGATTTTAGATAGAGAAATGAAAAGTATGCCCAGAGGAACCTACTTGCTGCTCTCCTATCTGGCTTGCCAGATATGTTAGTGGGTTCTAGGGTGCTGGAGTCTCCTTCTGGAGATGGTTTGTAGGTTCTTTCTGTCCTGAGAAAAGCATTGATAAAGGCAAGCACAAATGGTAGCAAACTTTTATTAAAGGTAGAAAAAGAAACAGGCTCTGCAGAGCAAGTTTGGGCCAGGTAAAAGTAGAAGTAGTGAGGGTGGGCCACCATGAGGGTGGGCCACAATGAAAGAGCGAACAGTGGCAAAAACTCAATGTGGACCGCCCTTTTTGTCCACCCCCCCATTAAGTTTATTGGTACATTTTAGGTATAAAATACATTTACATACATCATTGGAATCTTGTACCATTACATAAGTATCTTGGTTCTTACTCTTTTTCCCCTTCCCCTGCCCTCCCTTCACCCCCTCCACCCTTCCCTATTTGCAAAGATTTTGTTTCCATTTTTTTTCCTTTTCTCATATTTTTTCTTTTCCCTTCTTTCCTTTCCCCTACCTCTCCCACTTCCCCTACTCCT